ATCATCATCATATTTGAAACAATCATAAAAGCATAATGAGAATAATGCCATTATGATTTGTCACTAAAATTAAAAATTAACTCACAATAGAGTTTTATGTTTGCTCCGGAGGTGTATGCTGTTGTTGTTCTTGAGCTAAACGTTGATGTGCTTGTTGTCGTGCTCTGAATTCAGCCGCTCTTAGTTGTTCTAAATGAAATTGTTGTCTTTCAGTAATAAGTTGCTGCCTTTGATATTCAAGTCCCTCGCGTTCGCGTTCCATCGTTGTTTCTAATTCCTCAAAATGACGTAACTTTATTTCTAACTTTTTCATCTGAGTTTCGACCAGTAACGCGACTAACGATTTTATTTTCCGTTCTTCTACAGCCGCTAAATGTTTCGCTTTAACGGCAGCGGCAGCCAATGCGGCCGCTGCTGCGGATTGTAATTGGGCGTCCCTCACAACCTATTTTATTTACAATAATAAAAATCTGTTAGTATTTATTTGATTAAATTATTTGATTACTCGTTTAACCAGTATCAATTTGTATTCTTTGTTATATATAATATGTACTATTTGTATCACACACATTTGTACTCTTGTTATATATAATGTAATATTTAATGTGATTTACCTTATCCTTTTTTTCTTTTGCCTCAATAGCTTCAGCATCGACAGAAGATTTAGTATCATCTTCGCTTTCTTTAGAATCATCTTCTTTCTTAGTTATCTCTAATGGTGATTGTTCAACGTCCGATGCATCCTTCGATTTCTCTTGATCTTCTTTCTTTGCTTCTATAGAAGCTGGACCTGTCGAATGAGGAGAAGTTACAGATGATGCTTGAGTTCCAGTAGTTGACGGTGTTGTAGTATCATCAGGTGGTTCAGGTGATCCTGTACCAGCAATGCCTGATTGTGCAAGTCCAGCAGCTGGATCAAATTTTCCTAATAATCAAAAATTATCTTTTCTTATAATAGTTCTTATAATAAAATACATTATTTTTTTATGAGACGATATAATTACCATCCGAGTTAGCACTAGCTTGAACATTTCGTAAATGCTGATCCAATAACGCTGCTGGTACTTGATCCTTAATAGCAGCAAATTCTTCCATAGCAGCTTTAGCTGCACTAGCTGCCACTCTAGGATCTACGACTGAAGCTAAAAAGGCTACTGTACTCATAACTGGATTTCCAGCCTTTGAAAAAGGTACTGGTTGATACGCTAGAGGTCCTAAGCCTTCTGGACCACCTTCCTCAAGATACGGGTCTTCTATAGGTAACCGTAAGAAATGTAATATGCATTCATCTTGTGTTCTTGAACCGACATGTTCGCAGACTTTATTCCAATCATCTTTATGAAGTTCTAGGCCTTCCAATAATAAAAGTGTTTCTTGTTCAGTCCAGTCACGTGTTGCTCCAGCTGCTTGTTTGTTCTTTAACACTGCAGGTTTCCTAGAATACTGATCAACTTTTAAACCAAAGTTTGACATAGCATTAGCTGAAACTTTTTCTTCTGTTCCAAGTATAGCAGTAGATTTCTTCTCAAGATCAAGCAATGTTTTTGCTGCAGATGGTTGCGGTGTTTTTGGTGGATTTGGATTAACCGGTGCAAGACCTGATGGAGTATCCGATAATACGTGAAAATGAGATGTTGGTGGTGGACCCATAGGTGTAGGTCTAGATTCTGCATCTACTTGATAATTAATTAAACCCCATTGTTCCAGAAAAGCATGAACACGCATAATTGCACAAACATCTCCAGCTAAATTACGCCTGTAAAAATATAAAAACACTTGTTATACAAAATAATTTCTTCTTATATTAAGATTCCTTTAAAATTATATTACACAAAATGATACCTGCAAGCTGTTGATGTAATATATTCTGTAGGATTTAATCTATAGGTATCTATCATAAAATTCCTGTACGCAAGATAAATTTCAGGTGTTTTAGATTTGTTTTTCCCATTGAAGAATTCAGATAATGCTCTTTTCTCTATAGTATGAATTGAATTGTAGTCGAACCAGGCTGAATAACTTGGTACAACTATATGATGAGTTTGTTCTGTAACATTATCTTCTGGCTCGTCTCCTTTACCTCCTTCTCCTCTTTCTTTGCTCGTATCTCTTTCCTCTCTGTCTTGAGTTCCCTGAGAGCTACCTTTGTCGCCTGCTTTTTAAATTTTACAATTTTACAATTAGATATTACAGTGTACGCACGCATACAAAATTTAAAATAATATTATTTTGACAAACCTTCTATCGGCTCATCCAAATCTGCCATATTCCCAGATTTAAGAGGTTGCAGTTCATTATCCTGTTTTTTATTTCCAGTTGATGCCAAACTACTGCTTGTCGTCGCATTACTGTTTTGGCCTGTTATTGGCGGATTAGCAGGAGCGGCAACAACTTCGACGATGCGAGGTTCAGCTGGTGGATCCTCCATCCCTTGGGTAAGATCTTCTTCCTCATCTCCAGTACCTCGGGATTTCTTTGGAGTAGCTGCCGAAGAAGTCGATGAAGTGCTTTGTAAATTTGATGGAGCCCTGCTACTGAACATATTAGGTAATGTGCTATATTAGAATCGTATCTCTTCCCAATTAAAATTAATCTACAGGATCCAATCGAATAATATGTACAATGTAGTTGCACTTTTATTCCTTATGAAAAAATAAGAACAAAATGCATGAACATTTTATCGAATTTTTTGTTTTTCCTTTATCTTATTTTTCCAGCTTAGTACATATTTTTTGTTCAGGATCCTGTTGCATATGTATATAAAATTAGTTATATGCAATCCAAACCTTTTGCGTTTTCCAAGTTTTGGTAGTGGACTTGGGGATCTTTTTCTTTTGGGTTTTTTTCCTGATGGTGGATGAGCAGGTTGGGCCATTAAATCTTCTACTAAAAGTCTATATTTGTGAACTTTCTTTTGTCCGCTATCATCTACCTCATAATCTTCTTCATTCATCCATTCATTATATAAATCTAAATCGAGCGCCCACGTCGCGGAAACCTTATACACTGATCTAAAAATAAAATATAACATTTTAGATAATTAAAATTAACCTAATAAAATAATAAATCAACAAAAAGAAGATTATTAATTGTACCTTGTACTTGTAATATTAAGAGTTCCTTCAGGAAATTCCCAAGGAAGATCTAGAGTAGTCCAAGAGTCATAACTATCTGGGAAGTAATACCAATGAAGAAGAACCGATCTTTCACGTCTCATACATGGTCTAGCGCATTCTTCTTCCATTGGATCTACTGATGGAAAAATAATATGTGTAGCATCTGCTTCATTCTCAACAACTGTGCCTTGATGTCGTCTTACTGCTTCTTTTACTTTTGTTGCCGTTGGTTTATCGACGTCGGCTCTTACAAAGACGCTAGGTATAGTCAAACATCTATTCTGAGTTAAAGCACGCTCTGCTGCCATTAACATTTCTACTATGCGATCCATACGAGAGCCTGACTATATTAAAAATAATTAAAAGGAATGTTACCATTGTGATATCAGATATAATATATTGCTGACGTTAAATAAATTGTAAAAAAATACCTTTCCAACTGGAAAGTCAAACCTACGCCATCCTTGTTCTTGCTTAAATCGATAAGCGGTAGAAAGTATATGACACAAACCACCTCCAGGTTTAAAGTCTAAGAAACATTTCATCTAGAGAAAATAATTATTACCTTGTCTGTACAATGTATAAATACATACATACATATATCTATATATTTTTACATATACACTCCTTGTGTGTTATTTTTTTAACAAAGAGTGTACATACAGGATGTTCTGTAACCAAGGTGCACTTGTACTCAACAAATTTTCAAACTTATTTTTCTCTAAAACAAAGTCTTATATAAACAAATATAATTCAACATTTTTGACTTAATTATTCATGTAGAATCACTTCCTGCTTGTTTGTACCACCAGTTACAGGTCATCCTGTATATATATATATATATATATATACATATGTAATTTGTATAATGGTAAATAATATATATATATATGTATGTATATATATATATATATATATATATACATACCGGTACCCTTGTCATGGGTGGTTTGGTTACATTTTTTCCTAAATTATCCTCTTGGAACTGCAGCAATTGTACGACTAATGTTGCTAAACTTTTATTTGTCGGAGGATCTGTTTGTACATACTGCAAGAAATATTAATCATTGAGAACTTTATAATATAGTAATTTCATTTGTAATGCATCATCGCACACAATCAAGTCTTTCAACATAATATTAAACAACGCGTTGTATGAAAAGGCATAGGATGATACTTGAACCATAGCAAGTATTATTTTATTGTATCAAATTATATGTGATGTGGGTTAAAGTGTGTTTACGTGGACATTGAAACAATTAAAGAAGTAATGCGTATCAGTGCTTGCGGGTTGAAAATTTGAGACATAAGAACAAATGATAAAATATTTAAATATATGTATACATATATATAAATTTAATGATAAATAATAAAAGAAATAATAATACAACAAAATATGTATTGTAAGACGTATAAAATTAGATATTTGTTAATGAAATTTATCGACGCCGTGTATTAGTAAGTGGAGCTGATACATACCTTTTTACAATTTTTTAAAAGCCATTGTTTAACACCGTCAAGTTGTGCGAGGATTTCCGCAGATTCAAAAAATTTGGCATTCGGTCCTCCATCCTTTTTTGGGCCTAACGCAAGCATTTTTTATATATAAAACTTAGACCTATTAATCCTTCAAGAATACAACGAACAATAACGCCGCGTTACTTGCAAACATGACACGCCTCTGAAGTTGGTTGTATCTCTTCGATTCACAATAAATCTGGCCAGGCCTAACAATATTTACTTATTTATATTTCAAATAATACGTTAATAATATTATTAAAATGACGTAAATGTGACTGATGGTTAAGATGATATCCCAATATAATAATACGTTCGAATTATAACCTAAATAAAAATGCAGATATCCGTGAGATCCGACGTGAAGGCCGATGATATTTCAAACGTTCTCATTGGTCGAATCTGCTCGTTCAAATATGTCGGCCAATGTATTTCGACTGCAGCAGGAAATTCGTAAGCAAGCTTATTAGCGAATATGCCGCTAACCTATCATTCTTTTCAAACTTTATTATTTACATGAATTTTTTTTTATTAGTTTTTTTTTTTGTTTTAAACTATTACCCGATAATGAATACATATTAATAAATTTGGTTATGTTAGTGTGTGAATTTTGTATGCTGAAAAGCTAAATTTTTATTATTTTCTAATCGTATTTAAGTAAACTAATGCGTGCTATCTGTGCTTTGTAATCTCTTAGATATTGTACTATAGTGGTTTTTTAATGATACAGACAGTAGTATATAAAATATTTATCTCTTGTTTTTAATTTCACTTTTTTTAACTAATGGAATTATGTAGAACTTTATTTTTGAATGTAAGTAATGATCAATCGTTTTATTTTCAAAAAATGTGTGTGATACTATTAAAATATTAATTATTTAATTTAATAATTTACAGGAGTACGAAGTTACATTATGTTGATTTCAATGCAAGATGACTATTCATCGAAGAAGAAGACACTGTTGTAGCATTGGATCATTTCTTTGAAGTTACTTTTTTCTTGACGTTACCAATATGAATATTAATTGCATTTATTTTTTTCTTTGAAGAGGTTTGAAGTTAAATACAATGCGTATAGAATATAGCAGCGATGACAAGAAGTGGTTAGAACCGAAAGCTTTTAGAAAGTAAGGTAATAATCTTGTAGAATTAAGAAACGAATATTATTTTATTCTAAAGGTATATATTTATATATTCATTAGTTTACCATAGCGTTAATACATTTATTCTTTTATCGCAAGTGAAAAATCATTGCGCTGAAAGAAATAGCATAATACTTTCAACAATGATTAATAAAATTTGACAATACCTTCCTTATGAACATTTTTGAAAGAAAATGCTTTATTATTATCTACTTGAAATAAAATATTTTATTAATACTAGTAAAGTCAGTCCTTCTCTACCCTCAAATGTTATATCCATGAAAATTCCTCAAAAGAATCTTATTTAGAACGAACAATTACATTTATTATTATTATCATAATTTATTTGTTTCATTTTTATTTATTAAAATGAAATCAATATAACGTATCAATTAGATAGAATATGCTGGTAAAATTTGACAGAAAAAATGGAATATCCTGTATATTTTAATATCTGTACATATTATAGTTATGCTTACCAAAGTTTTTGTAATACATTTAGCAATTATTTTTTAATATTTTTATTTTAATAATCGATATATATATATACATAAATATACTCATTCATTATCTAAATTTCCTAGCAATGAAATATATTTAATATATATTTTAATATGGATATACATTTTAATTAGGCTTATCAAAAGTTCAATATTGCATTTAATAATTATTTCAATAAAAAAGAACCAATATAAATATACATATATACATACAACTATCTCTCTAATAATCATTATTTAAATATTAAGAAATAAATAAAAATGCATCTTTAGAAATGCAACAAATACATAAGTAAGAAAGTA